CCTGTTGTTTGTYACTTGGGAGAAGAGCCTGACCCTGTCAGGGGGTCGAGAGGCAGAAGGTTCCCCCTGAGCCTCTTTTTCTCCAGGCTGTGCCCYGATGGCATCTTCAGCTGCTTAAGCAGGTTTTTTGAATGAAACCTGCAATCTGTGGTAGCGTCTGATTCAAATTGTAAGAAGTGTTATTTTTAACTAAGCACSTCCTACAAAGTTTCTCACTCAACTTGCATCTCAGCACTACACCACAGATGCTACTGGGGCAGTTATACCCCCAGCATTCAGGAATAACAGGATTTCATAAATTGTGGCAAGATAAAGTAGACAAAGATGGTACCAACTTACTGATTACAGCTCATGTGTAACAGTTCCAGCTTACTTTTCTGGTTATTCCCTTTTGCATTATGAACTGGAATGATGTTTATATATAACATAACATATTGCATCATGTTTATATATATAACATAATATATATAAATATAATTCCAAGTTTTATATATACATTATATATGTGTGGTTTATATATATGTTTCACCTTGGCTTTCTCATGATTTGTCTTCTTKTTGTCACTGTGCTTTTCCACAGTGTAAATGTAAAAGCATAAATCCAGCCCAGTTTCCTGCCTCCTTTTAAAATCTTTAAATAGCCTTTTCTTGCTGCCATGCAGCAGATCTTAGGAGAAGTCATTTGGTGTTAACAGCACTCAGGGTGCTCTAACAAAGAAGACAGTGACTAATAACTTCTATTGAACCTGGTACTATGTKTTGGCAAATGCATCTCTGTTCCCTTTGCATCTGTGAGTGAAAGGTGTTTTGAGGAGGAAGAGGAGGAGAGTGTCTGCTTTTTATAGAGAATGGAGGGTATGCAGTCATTTTGTTGGGTTTTTTTCCCTGACTGTCTTTCCTGGATCTGCTGCAGGGTGACTGTTTGTGTAAAGTCTAGTGTTTCCTAGCACTTTATTTTCAGACTTTATGTAGATGAAATGCTTGTGGTCACTGTCACTGGTTCACCACATGAAGGATGCCTAATAGCATGGGAGCTGTGCTGTCAGTGGGAGGACCTCATCCAGAAAACTTTTGGAAAAATCTGTCTTGTGTAAAGCAAGCAAACAAAATTCTAGCAACATCTTTTATGTGACTGTAACCATGTGAGGAATGTGCACTCCTCTTCCCCGTGGTCTCCAATGTATATATAGCATGCATTCAGCCACTGCTATGGATTCTGTGCACTCCAGCAGGCAGCACAGAGCCAGCAATCCATTTTCTGTGACTCTCTCCTGCCTGTAACCTAAGAAGGCAAGAATTGTTTCTATG